AGAGGAAAGGAAGAAGAAGCAGGAGTTGGGCAAAGCTGTATCGAAAGCCAAGCAGGCATGAAATATGTCATTTGGGTGACATGTGTTCACGCATGCATGTGTACACTTCTACATGACAAAGTGTTGAACTTGCGTGCAACTCAACACAAATTATATTTAAAAGTTGGGGGATATGATTTTGCTTTGAACATCTTTGAACGTGGGGTCCTCTCATGAACTAGTATGTTGATGCATGGTAGGCCCTGTCAAAGCTGAGCAATGCAATTGCCAAAGCCTCGGCATTGACCGGCAAAGCTGAAAGCATGCCTTGTCCTCAGCACGCTCTTTCGCAAGGTCAACGTTAATGTGTGAACCATTTGGTTGTTGCTAGTTTGTTATGATGGTGTTGACAGGTCCAAGAGTTTGAAGACTATCTTCCTTGGGGAGATGAAGCCCCACGTGTCCGCCATGAAGAAGCAAAGAGACCATATGCAATCGCTGATCGACAAGGCTCAGGCGACACCTCCTTTGTCAGTGTGCACTTCCTAGCCCAAATTGCCCAAACCTTTTTCCATGTCAAATACAGATCAATCACCAGCATTTTTGTCGACTCTGACACTCTTGCAACAGCACTCTTTGAGGTTTGTTGAACCCACTGAATCCACAAACACACCATCCTTGAAGGTTGGCGATGAGCCTAAGCTCAAGGATACGGCCAAGACGGATGAAGTGATTGCAGATTTCAACACTTTCTTGAGGGACAATAACATGAAGTAGTTTGATGCTAGGCCATCAAAGGTGGCTCTGAGTCTGGTGGGGAACCTTAGGTTTTGGCAAATGTTTAGGAACAATTTGCTTTAGGGGGCCTAGGGATCAATCGTACAAGTGCTTGGGGGCCATGATCATACAATGCAACTTCATCACATTTAATATATAACATGCTCAAACATTGTACTTGTGGATTCCGGATTGATCATGGATCGAGACACACTGCCCAGCCCAGCTTTGGCCCCCAACGTTCGAAGCGTTTTTGCCCACCTGTGGCAAGCGAGTTCAGAGCTGCTGGCTTTTGGCAACCTGAAACTTGGGGTGTGAACACAGAAAAAGACATGTTTGGTCAAGTGCTGTTGCATACCTCCTCCCTGATTGGCCGTGCTTGCAGTGCATACAAACTTGGGCGGGTTTGTATACACTTCAGCACACTGATAGATTATTTTCGCAAAACCAGTTCTGGTCAGGTGATGATCCTGCTATTGAACAACCTCATGTCCTCCAAGAACAAATTGATTGTGTCAGCAGGGGGGTGGCTTGGCAAATGTGCTTTGCTAAGTAATTATTACATGCCATATGCAATGCATTGATTGCATATATCGTCCGTGTAGTTCATTGGCTTCATGAGGGCATACATATCATATATCATGATCATGATCATGCGTGCATGTTTTGCTCCGCTGCCTTTGCACTGACCAATCACTGACACCGCACCTCAGGTGTCTTCGACTCATCAAGCCATGAAGAACTTGAGGGCTCACGTCAAAGCACCTTAGATGCATGTGACATGTGTGAAAGTTGGGGGCATGCAAGGGTGCATTCTTTGGAAAGCATAGTTGGGGATTGAACCAGTTGCATCGTTCATTAATAGTGAGACCATTGTCTCAGGAATCCAGGGGGTATGCACACCCTGATAGCAACAAATTGGGATCTATGAGTGGTTGGAACGACAGTCGAGACTTTTGGTCCTTCAATGATATTGGAGTTGCTACTTGGCTAACTTCTGATTGGGAGTTTGTTCTGGTTTCTCAATTGAGTGTGCATTTGATTTTTTGTAATTGCTGGGTGCAAGACTATCATCAACCTTACTCTTCAAAATCTTGGGTTTGGCGGCATGCAAGGCTATTCATTGGATCCACGTTCCGATCAAGGACCCCAAGAACAAGGGAAAAGTTATTTTCCAAAGGCAACCTATGCTATTTCCTCATGAGGTGCTGGCATATTGCTTTAATGAAGCTGGCTACACCTGTTCTGTGGAGGAACGGAGAGCGTACTGGGAGAGTGCTAAGGAAGCAGGTGAGTTGTGGGCTGTGAGCCACACAGGATCACACACGCTTCATCCTGTGGGGCTCTACGGAGATTCGGCTCGGTTGCCGACAAATTACAGGCAGGAAAAAATCACTGGAATATTCTTGAACCTTGTGCTCTTCAGACCACGCTCTGTTCGCTCCAGCAGATTCCTCCTGTGGTGTGGGGATACAAAACAGATCTTCCGCAATAGGACACTCAATCAGGTATTCCGCTACATCGTATGGAGCCTACAGTTTGCATATATTGGAATTCACCCAACACATACAATGGGGGGACAACCTTTGCAAACACCACTGGCAGGAAAGCCCCTGACTGATGGCTCTGACTGCTTTGCAGTCACTGAAAACAGAGGTGACTGGGAGTGGCACAAATTTACGTTCCGGTTCAATGCAAGCTGGGTCTCAAATGACATATGTTTCCGATGTCCTGCTACTGCAAACGGGCCAGTGGGTATGCGCTACTACACTTTTGATGAGCAGAGTTGTGACTGGTTACGTCAAGAGTTTGGCACCGCCCAATTCTGCGCACGAAGGTTACCAGACAAAAACATTTGCAACTTGATGCAATGACTATGTCGTATGCATCGTTTCTATTTGGGGTGGGTTCAGGGGTTGAGTTGTTGCCTTCATTAATCTTCCCTGTGCAGCTCATAGATTGGATCCAAGGTCCACTGATATTATTGGATGGTTGGCACCCTGGCATGATCAAAATCTGCTCCATGCACACGCTGCAGTTGGGATTGCTATATGCCACAAACGGCGGGGCTTTGCGCCTAAGCTCCATTGGTTTGTTTCACCTCCTCCTGATGTCCCTTCCCACGCGATACACCAGCGCCACATGCCAGGGCACGTATAGAGGAAGTGAAGCACAAAGGTTCCCATTGCCATGCCATGATCTGAAACATACTATTCATGGATCTACTGTAGGTGGCTGATCCCTATGCCTATGCCCTTGGTCCACTGCTATAAGTATGATTACTATGTTTTTCCTTTGAAGGCACCAGTCTTTCCTGCTCGGATGCAGTGTGAGGATCCTGTTGGCTGAAGAACTTCACCATTTTGGATCTCATGGAGGCAACTTCCAAGAACAACTGGATGAAGCCTACAGATGCTTTCTATCCTACTGCATTCAAATGCGCATCAAACACAGTCAACCACCTTTTACGGCAAGACTGGTACCTTGGCAGTTTGGGGTCATGTCCAAACCAAAATTGTCATGTTTGGATGAACATGACTGTGGTCGAGAAACTAGTGAGTTTTATAAATTTGATCGAGGTGAAGAAGAAAGATGGTCACCGCTTGATGACCTGTAAAGCATACAATGGGCGGGTTGTGATGGAGTGGTTAGCCCATGAACTTCGAGCTGCCACTGACTCTGGTGTGCATGGAGACCATGATCGATTACAACTAGCCACTGTTTGTTTGAACCTTGAATGCATTGGGCCTCATTCACGACTCACGACACAAACCTTTGTATTTCCATATCGCTGGTTAGTGGCCCTCATACATCACCTTAATTAATAGTCTGCCCAGGACTTCCATTGCGCGGGTGCAATTTCTCAGCGAATCCAATGGGAGAAGGTTGCGCCTTGACATCATGGTCACCAGTTTACTAGCTATTGATTGAATTGATAGTTCTTGCTCGCTTTGCACTAACTAGTTGTTCATTCAGGCCTTCATCCGTGGCCAGAGAGATGTGGAAGGAGGGCATGCTGTTCTTGAAGAGCTATACATGTCTACAAATCTTGTCAGTAAGGTGGGGTTGCTGTTGAACAAATTTAAAGCATGTACTGTCCTGCTTTATTTTTTTGCAACCAATACGGACCGGCCCAGGGAATCCAAGCAGACTTTCCTCCTCCGTCCGAAGCTCCACGAACCTTGTTTGCAAGCTATAGTCGACATCTTGCAGTCAAATCTAGAAATCTTCTAGACGTTATGTTATTTGCAATTGTAAGTTTTGAACTTTGAGTCCACCATTGTTTGCCTGGCTGAGATGTTTGCCCATCTCATTTGGGATGCACTGGTGACTCGTGCCTTTGAATGATGCAGTGCTTTTAAATGCAGAACCATGTGAGCCTTGCATGATCAATCATACCATCATGCTGTATAGGGCTAAAGTTGATTGACCCAAGGTGCCAATTGGCGTTTTTGGCACACCTACATAGATGAGGACGCGATGGGCTGGCTGAAACGTTCCCCGGCTAAACTACTTTCCGTTGTTAGTGGGCTCAATGGACTTTTGGATCTTGGGTCGGATTCTGCTGTATTCCATTCTTACCTTGACTTCTAGTCTAGATCTGTTTTAGGAGTTGGGGGTGGCACGCACTGGAAGAATCGATCGCGATGGACATTGCGAATTGGGCGGCTACGATTGAAGAGCACTACATTTCGGATGAAAGAGTTGCCTGGTTTCAAGATCGAATCCTATAACTTGTGGGATGGCTGTTTGACTTGTTTGGTTTCAACTTAGCTAGCTTAGAATGCTGGAACTTGGGAGATGGTTGTTTGAATTGTATTCATGAAGCATCTTAGGCTTCTGGCGTCTTCGCGACAACGTGGCTGATGGCCACACGTGGGAAAAAGACGTCAGTGCATACATGTGCCAAGAACCATATCCCCAAAAAGGTGATTATGATAATGTCTGTTGTGATAACCGCCTTTAATAGAAAGGCTGTTAGACTTGTAGGGTATATACATAGCTGCATGTCAATGCCTGGGAAGTTGTCAAAAGTCGGGCTTGCCAGCATCTGACATGGCCCAATCCATGAGACTTGACACGCCTCCACTCGGTGGACACGGAGTATCCACCTCCCGTTCTTTCCGGCCAGGGCCCAATCAAGTCCGACGTCTTTGGTGAGAGTCTGTCCATATATTTGGACCAAATCATTGGCATGTTTTACTGTTTATTTCCAACCCGTGCAGCACTCGTGACCAAGGCACGAGCAGGCCAGCAGCGCGGCGAGGTTCGGAAGCCTGAGCCGCGAGGCGAACTGCGGCTTCGGAAGCTCCTGCTCGTTTGCTAGATGTTTGTTGAACGGTTGAAGCATATTTGGGTGCGTAGGGAAAGCAGCGGCTATATAATAATATATATATATATGTGCTAAAAAAAAGTATCTTATAGTTGCTATCACGCCGGCCACGTGGCAAACTTTGGGATTCCAGTAGCCATGTGACATGGCTACATAAGCAAACAATACATGCCTCGGATCTCCGATTCATATATATATATATATATACAGTATATAATATGTTGATGCAGGGTACCGGGTACCACCATTGGCTGGCTATATGTTTCGGCTGCATGACGATGTCCCCGTAGTGATCTGTTCCACATTGCACACTAAGAAACCACATTGCTGGTCATTGCTGCACACAGATCTGAAAGGAAAACAATCGAAGACCAGCAAATTGATGAATCAAAACAGGCAATGCCTCGAAGCGAAAACAACACATCTTCATCTTCTACAACTACTGTGCGGCTTGAACAGACCAATTACAGCATATACTTTCCGAAAATGGCGGTAGCTGTTCCCGTGAGGCCGAAAGAGGCACTCCTGCATGCAAATACGGCACTCCCCACTAAGAGGTCTTCGACTCGCATGCTTTTTTCAGCGAACGGATGGGTCCATTGCGCGTGGACCCTGCCTACCTGCAAGGTGCGGTCCTACGGATTGAACAGCCGGTGGCGATCGAAGAGCCCTCTCCCCAACACTCAATCAACAGTTTTGTCCTCCCTCCCGCACTTGTCCTGAAAACTACATCCTCCTGAACATTGTGAAGGCTTTCTTCCAGGTTCAGAAAAACACAAGAACACTGTCTATCTGGCCAGTCCGTCGTCCGTCATCCACCTCCCATCAAGTCCGAGTGGCCAAAGCCGGTCACCCAGCAGCAGCAGGGTATAGGGGACCACTAGCGCTTTGGAGGATGCTTTGATAGTCACCACCACTTCGCACCAGGTGCGCTGACGATATAAGGCACGGCCTGGGCAAAACCATCAGCTGGGCCCAGCATTAAACCCTATGAAAAGAACATGTGACGTGGCGCCAAGAAGCTGCAAACGGGATCAGAATGGATAGTCCATCGGCGGACCGTGTTTAGAGCCCTATAGGTGCTTTACGTCAGCTTGCATCCATCTCACAAACTGTTTTCTCACTGGCCCGGCATGCTTCTGCAACCCTCCCTGGGCGGTTGGCAACCGTTAGCCTGTTAGCAAAAGGGTTAACAATGGACGGGGCAATGTTGATGACTGCAGTGACGGGGAATTGACCGAAACAATTTCCTTGTCATCATGTGACGAGGATGATTGAGATTTGAACATTCTGCACGGAAACCCATTGAAAACACCCGGTCAATTTGCAGCTGGTAGGGCACTAGGACTAGGAATGTTTTACCAACTCTACTTGGGAGGGGTATCAGGCCATTACAGCACAGTTTCCCTGACAAAAGAATGCACTCCCATGGCCAGGTCAGACCCAGAAAACCTCTAGTCACAAAGGCTCCAGTACAACCCAAAATGTTCAGAACCTTGCAATGACCTATCCCACCGTGGTTAGCAGTTGGACACCTTATATGGTCAGGACTCTGACTGGAATGGCCACTGATGTCTGATGACACTTGCAGCATTCGTTGGAACAGCATGCGCGCTCTTTACCCTGCATTGGAAAATTCTCCGCTGTGGTAATTCTACGCTCCGGATTCTGGATTCTGGTTATATATACACACCACGGGTTTTGATCAAAGCTTCAAACAGTACTGGCCCAGCCGTTCTGAAAAGTGCCTTGTTCAGTGTGTAGCTCTCCATCCCAACGCGGCCACTCACCTTGTCAGGCTTGGCCATAGGAGGTAGATGGAGGTATCGCTCGACGTGATATCAACCAAAGTGAGCCTGGATCATTGAATTGACGATTTGGGGTGTGAATCACCGATAGCAAGAGCCGATGGGTCGACTGAAATTGTGTTCTCGCAGTTATCGCATCTCGTTCCTACTAGACTCCAAGGGTCAGTGTTGGATTCAATTGAAAAGCCAATATGTTTGGATCCTCCGTGAGATGGTCTTTTGTTAGAGTGCATACGGCGCATGCAACACAAATCACATCAGTCAACAAGGGAGGTTCCCAAGGGTGGCGGCGGTGGTGGTGTATGAAGGAGGAGAGGTGGCTCTCATCGAATTGGTCAGACAACAATACAAATAGCGTGAATCAGGAGTGCAGGGCCCCATGGACCAATTCCACAAAGCGACCTGGACCTGGACCCTTCTTCCGGGTCCAAAGGACCTGCTCCATGAGCCCCTTATTCCGAGGTGCGCAAGGAATACACAAACCACCCGCAGCGCAGGCAATCATTTTGGATGCGAAAGCCCCGAGAGGTCGTTTCCTGGGCGCAGATCGGGTCAGGGAGGCCAACACTCCTTTAAACAGTCCATGATCATGCTCCATGTGCAGCCTTCATTGACCGCTGAAACCACCCCTATGTAGGTGTCTCGGCCTATTGCAAACCCTTTATTCTGCGGACTGGGAGAGGCTAGCGCTCGAATCGGGCAGGTGTGGCATTCGGTTCGGCCGTTGATCTGACAACGGCCAAAGAAACCAGCCAAGCCGGGCAGTTGAAGCATTCATGCAAAGTCTAAAAGGGGTGGACACGCAAACGAATGTGGCTATTTAAGACTTCCAACTTGCAACAGGTTAAAAGAATGCGCACTTGCGCGCGCATCCCTGGTTCGAGGCACGCACCAAACGGATTCCAAAAGAAGGTAACCATGTTCTAAGAGCACCAATCCAGAAACTTCCTGGGCGAGAGCATCCACGCCGATGGGCCTATTTTCCAGGACCTGCTCTCCGCCAACAAATCGCCTTGAGCCTCCAAACATCTGCAACAAGGAGAAAAACGCACACATAGACTAGCCAGTTGATCAAGACCAACCAAGACAACACCATTACATACAAACCCAAGTGGATTTGGGTCACAGAAGCACTTAGATGTCCTTTCTGACCAATTGATGTTGCTGGAACAAAATCCCACTACCGTCTTACCATTCGCTACAGACAATCATAGCACTGATTTGAGTAGAAGGAAAACAAGAATAAAAATATCTATAAAATATCTATATTCCAAATAATATCATATATATATATATTTATACTGTATACTGCATACTCGTCCTTAGAAGTGTCCAGCCACTTTCGGATCTGTTTGTTTCTCTACCCCAGATCGGTGCTTCCATGCCCTTCACCTGTGCTCCCAGCTTCGTTGTGGTGAGTGCTCAAGCTATCGCAGCCTTGATGATCCACCGGACCAAAGCCTCAGAGTCCAACGAAGATTTCTTGGCACAGCCTGTGAAGGATCCCTAAGGCTCCTGGCCTACCTCTCCTGAGAGAATGGTTGGGGTGGGTGCCAGAGGGTCTAACCACCTTCTGAGGATGTTGTTGGAGCCGTAGGAGATTTCATATTTCATTCCCCTTTCCAGGGCGCCCAAACTCCACGTTGGCCCATGATTCAGGCAGTGTCGATTTTTGGGCCGCTCGAATTGCTCGTGGGAGCGTCCCATGGCTCGAAGAAGGATGAGATTGAATCCTCACTGGGCCAAACGACTGCCAAACGTCACTATTGGATGACCGGACTTCTGATTGTTCCAACGTGCAACATGGTCTCCAAACTGGGGAATTGCACCACTGACTTGTCACATCTCGGACTGGTGGACCCTCTCTTAGAATCAGGTCTCTTTCAATGGTTGAGATAAACTCTGCGTGGGAAGCTGTCCCCCTTGAGGTCATTGGTCCATCATGAGATGTTCTAGCTGAGTGATGGCATTCAATCAGCTGGCCTTCCATGCAAGCATCAGTAGGTTAACAGTTGCTGAGCACAACTCGAGGGTTGCTCCCTGCATTGAGGATCCACAGAATGAGTCGGCAGTATGAATAGGCTTGTTGTGTTCCACCACAAGTTCTCATCACTTAGAATGCAAGGAATAGTTGAAAGTTGTTGATTCACCTTTCTGAGTGACATACTACTATAGCCCTCTAAATTTGGAAAACCACACAAGTTAGACTACTGCTCTCTTCACTCACAATGATCAGCACTGTATGCATGTAAAGCTTCCCCAGTTACACTACATCATGCAACACCTACCCTCTCCACAGTCCAACCACATGACCAGTTCATCAACTTCCAAACCAAGCAGATTCCGGCAGCACGTACCACGGGCTGTGTGACTTCCTTCTTCCGCCTCTCCAAGGCGCCACAGCGCCCGCATTGTCGGGGATCGGCCATTGCTGCCGCGATGTCGTTGAGTTCCTGTCAATGTCTGAAGGTCTGGAATCCAACAGGCACATGCCTGTGGCTTCCTGGGGTGACGTGTCTTCCACAGAAACTTGTTTGGTCTATATAAGACTGGTGCAACATCGTTCTTTGCGTTCATGGTGCACGGAAAAAGTCGGCGCCACGTCCGCCACGTCAGGCCTCATAGTCCAGGATCTGCCCACTGGGGCTCCGAATGACGCGGAGGACGCACAGAACTCCATCCACCGTGGCATAGGCACCGACCTGGCCAGGATCAGTGACGAGCGACGAACAACTTGAGAGAGGAGGGGGGTGAACGAAAGGTAGCAGGGAATCAGGCGTAATCCGGGAGGAGGTGAGAGGCCCCCCACTTTTTTGAAGAGAAGTGAGTGAGCGTGATGAAAGAAAGACTAATGCACAAACGCTTGACAAAACCTCCAGAAGCTGTAGCGGTCTAGCGGTTTCAATACAGGTTGACGTGCCTTCAAAAGGAGTCACATATTTCTCAAATGCAACTTCGGATTTACATAGTGACGTGCGGCGACCCTGTAAATTGCGTGGCCGCAGGCCATGCTTGCAAACAGGACGTGCTCAAAAACACTGGTATTTACGAGGTTTCGTCGCCGTCGATCCACAGCCGCGGCAAGGTCTAAGGCCACGCTTGAAGACAGGAGGAGCTGAAAACACTGGTATTTACGGTATTTTGTAGCCGTCGATCCAAAGGCGCACCACGGTTGAGCGCTGGAAAAGCGCAGAAAACCGTGTAAATACCGGCGTTTTCTGCCGGGGAGGTGCACAAAACCCTGTAAATACCATAGTTTTGTGCAATTTTGAAGCCTCCAAAAGCCTCAAAAACCCTTTCTGACAAAATCTTTCCTGGTTTTTGGTCTTTTTTCGGTCATTTTTCTAACCGAGACGCATCAAAAACCATCGGTTTTTGCGGTGTTTTTTGCCGGACAGCCACAAAAAACGCTGTAAATTCCATGATTTTTTGTCACTGCTGAGGACTGGAAGGGCTGAAAACACTGATATTTACAGTGTTTTCGAACGGTTGACCCCGAGGCGCGCTAGGGTGGAGTTGAAAGGGGGGGGGGGCGGCCCCCCCCCCCAGCAAACGAAGATGTCGGGGACCATTTCTCCGAGAGATAGGCTGCAGCTCTGGGTTAATACATTTTTGCTAAAGCAAAAGGAAAACTCAGGTAGCGTAACCGCTACCTTTCGTGACAAGCAGGGTTTCGGGGTTCCAAGCCAACAGGGAAAGGACTGGAAGTCCCTTACAAAACAACCGCCTGTAAGGAAGGAGCATTTGTGTGTTGATGCTTCGCCTGAAACAATTGAGTCATGAGTCATGAGCTCACACCTAGACAGCATTTACATTTCCTTCTCATACAACACAAACTCGATTGGAATCCCTAGTGTCATTGAGGATATTATGATTGGATATGATTGGTATGATGCTTCCATCTTGGTGACAGTTGATTCAGAGTGTATAGACTCGTTCAATTTGCTTCCAGGGGCGCCCTTCTAGAAGGACCATTTTTCAGAAGGAAGGGTTCAGTATTCACTGAAACATTGTAACGCCCACATTCATCAGTAATACAGGTATCCCATGATATCCCCCGTATTGGGTCCCACCGCCAGCCGACCAAATGAAAGTAAATCCGTAAGGCCTGTCGAAGGTGGAAGAGGGGTATAGTCTCGGACGGCCAGTAGGCAGGAATTTGTCCGAGTGCGATGGTAAGCAGGTATTTTCACCGGCGGAAAAAATGTTGGCCAAATCTGCTTACTGGGGGGTGGTTTCTATGTTGCAATACTGTACAGCTTTCAGAAGACAACTGCAGTAAGCAGAAAGTTACAGTATGTCTACTGCAGGTGGGTTCAGCTAAAGAAAAGGAAGAGGACAAGAAGGGAAGAAATAAAACACAATATGAGAAAAAAAGGGAAGAAAAAAATCACGGAATGGGGGGGAAGAGAATGAAAGGGACAAGCGAAAGAGAAAGGGGAACAAATGGAACAGGGAAAGGAAAGGGAACAAAGGAAACTTTAGGAGGAGGGAATAAAAGGAAAAGGGAAAACAGTTTGAGTACACTGGAACAAGAAGGACTGAAGGAGGGAAGGAAAAAACACAAAAGAGGGAAGGACAGGGGAAGGGAACGTGACAAAAAAGGAAAACGGGGACAAGAAAAGGGACGGGTAAAGGGGATCAGGAACGGATAATAGAACAAATGACAAAAGCATGGGGACTTATTATACTGTATATATATATATACAAATGAAAGCACTGCAAATTGGGATCTTTCAAGTCAAAGCAAAGAAAGGTAAGGGAAAGGAAAGCAAAAAGAAAAGGAAGGGCAAAGAAGAGGAAATACGAGTAAACAAAACATTTTACTCACAAACTTTTGTTCAAACATTTTATTCCCCAAATTTTTGCCAACCTGCTGACTGCAGTCCCTGTCCATAAGAACCTCACCGACGGCAGCAAAAATGAAATTTGGCGAAATTGCCCCCCCCCAAAAAAACAAGATGGAACCCACGAACCCGAATGCAAACACGATCGAAAAACTAATATGTCCAAAGGACACTCTTGTAGGACACTCTTGCGGGACACTCTGTAGGACACTCTTGTGGGCCACTCTTGTGGGAAACTCTTGTGGGACACTCTTGTAGGACACTCTTGTGGGACACTCTTATAGGACACTCTTGTGGGACACTCTTGTGGGACACTCTTGTGGGACACTTCTGTGGGACACTCTTGTAGGACACTCTTGTGGGACACTCTTGTGAGACACTCTTGTAGAACACTCTGGTGGGTCACTTGCAGGACACTCTTGTGGGACACTCTTACACGACACTCTTGTAGGACACTCTTGTGGGACACTCTTGTAGGACACTCTTGTAGGACACTCTTGTCGGAAACTCTTGTGGGACACTCTTGTGGGACACTCTTGTGGGACACTCTTATAGGACACTCTTGTGGGACACTCTTGTGGGACACTCTTGTAGGACACTCCTGTACGACACTCTTGTAGGACACTCTTGTGGGACACTCTGCGGGACACTCTTGTGGGACACTCTTGTGGGACACTCTTCTAGGACACTCTTGTGGGACACTCTTGTAGGACACTCTTGTAGGAAACTCCTGTAGGACACTCTTGTGGGGCACTCTTATAGGACACTCTTGTGGGACACTCTTGTGGGACACTCTTGTGGGACACTCTTGTGGGACACTCTTGTGGGACACTCTTGTGGGACACCTTGTGAGACACTCTTGTCGGACACTCTTGTGGGTCACTTGCAGGACACTCTTAGGAAACTCTTGTGGGACACTCTTCTAGGACACTGTTGTGGGACACTCTTGTGGGACACTCTTGTAGGACACTCTTGTAGAACACTTGTGTGGGTCACTTGCAGGACACTCTTGTGGGACACTCTTACACGACACTCTTGTAGGACACTCTTGTGGGACACTCTTGTAGGACACTCTTGTAGGAAACTCTTTTGGGACACTCTTGTGGGACACTCTTGTGGGACACTCTTATAGGACACTCTTGTGGGACACTCTTGTGGCACACTCTTGTAGGACACTCTTGTGGGACACTCTTGTGGGTCACTCTTGTAGGAAACTCTTGTGGGACACTCTTGTAGGACACTCTTGTGTGACACTCTGTGGGACACTCTTGTGGGACACTCTTGTGGGACACTCTTGTAGGACACTCTTGTGGGACACTCTTGTGGGACACTCTTGTGGGACACTCTTGTAGGACACTCTTGTGGGATACTCGTGTAGAACACTCTTAAGGGACACTCTTGTGAGACGCTCTAGTGGGACACTGTTGTGGGACAGTCTTGTACGACACTCTTGTGGGACACTCTTGTAAGACACTCTTGTGGGACACTCTTCTGGGACACTCTTGTAGGACACTCTTGTAGGACACTCTTGTGGGTCACTCTTGTGGGGCACTCTTGTAGGACACTCTTGTGGGACACTCTTCTGGGACACTCTTGTAGGACACTCTTGTAGGAAACTCTTGTGGGTCACTCTTGTAGGAAACTCCTGTGGGACACTCTTGTAGGACACTCTTGTGGGACACTCTTGTGGAACACTCTTATAGGACACTCTTGTGGAACACTCTTGTGGGACACTCTTGTAGGACACTCTTGTGGCACACTCTTGTAGGACACTCTTGTGGGACACTCTTGTGAGACACTCTTGTGGGACACTCTTGTGGGTCACTTGCAGGACACTCTTGTGGAACACTCTTAGGACACTGTTGTGGGACACTCTTCTAGGACACTCTT